GGCGTCAGCGGCCCGTTGAGGGCCTCCAGCAGTGACACCACCTCGTAGCCCGGGGGGATGTTCTCCGAGGACTGGGGAGAGAGGGGAGACGAAGTGAAGGTCCCCCTGGGGTGTTTTACTGCACCCCCCCCGCCCCTGCTCCCAGCGGGATCGAGATGCCTTGGGGAGAGGCCAAGACCCAGAGAACGGACAAAGTCCCCGCACAAATGAATGACCCAAATCCGTGGTCTTTCCACCCAACTGAAAGCCCTTTTTTTTCAATATCAAGCTCGCCCTGTTTGCAAGATCAGTTTGCATTAAACAAACAAACCCTGGCCCCGGGAAGCATGGGCATCCCCAAACCTCCCTGGCCCCAGCACCACGGGGCGGAGGGGGCGAGGGTCCCACAGCCGCCGGCGTGAGCCGGGCTCGGCCGGGCACTGACCGAGTGCTCCTCGGAGTCGGAGGTCTGCGAGGCGATGATGGGGTTGAAGCTGGTGGGCGAGAGGGGACCCAGCCTTTTCCTCATGGCTCGGATTTGAAGCAAGGCTCGGAATGCTGCGGCAACAGGGACAAAGAGCAGAGTGAAAAGTGGGTCCCCCCCAAATGCCACCCCATTTCTCAGGAGGGGCATCCCCACACCGCACAGCGCTGCTGCACGGGGGGCTGGAGGGACCCACAAACCCCAGGGTGGGAGATGCCAGCCCCCCGGCCCTTACGCAGCCTGCAGATGGGGCAGTTGTTGGCCTGGTAGCGCAGGGTGTCGGCGCAGGTGTTGCAGAGGCAGAGGCAGCGGCAGGGCAGGATGAGGGTGTCACGCACGTCCGAGAGGCAGACGACGCACTCAGCGCTGTTATCGCTCACCTCGTCCTCGGCCACCTGCCCCGGGGGAGAGACGGGAGCTGCTTGCCCTCAGGGTCCCCAGCTCGCATGGCACAAAGGTGGGTGCCCTAAAATACGGGCTGGGTGCACCGAGAGCTTGCTGCAGGGTCCTGCCTGTGCCCATGGGCTGCCTGCTCTTGGAATACAACCCTGGGACCTTATCCCTCCCCTCCTGGAGGCTGGGAGATGGGGCCAGAGGCATCAGGCACCCCATGGAGGGATGCATCCTGCACTCCAACTTCTACATATATAGATAGATAGATAGATAGATAGATAGATAAATAGATAGATAGATAGATAGATAGATAGATAGATAGATAGATAGATAGATAGATAGATATCAGAGGAAGAGGCATGTCCCACACTTCAAGCCCCAGTGTGCCCTCCTAAGCCAGCAAGATCCAGCCACCATGCTCCCAAGGGACTACAAAGGATGGGGGAAAAAGGCTCAGTCTTTCACCTTTCTGCCTCTGGCAGCTTTGATGCCAACACAAAGCACCTGCACTGCCTGGGCAGCTCTGCGTTGTGCTGCAAACTCGTGCCCCGTGTGTGTTTTAGCTGCTGGCCCCACGCTAGGGGAATGGGAGAGAGGACGAGGGAAGACCTGCGGGATGGATGGAAGCGCATACCTTGGAGTCCTGCGTGTTGTACTTGTTCTCGATGCCATATATCTCCTGCAGAAGGTAGCTCACGCCGTCCACCTGCAACCCCGCAGGGAAAGGGTGAGGAGCAGAGACACAGCCCCCCCCACCC